TATATATATTCGTAATCTTCCTCCTTTCTTCACCCTTCCATTCTTTCTTCTCCTTCCGTCTTTGTCACGGTTTCTTCAGTGTTCTTTAGGTATAATGTTGAAAGCAGTGACTCGCTGAAGTTACATTTGCAGAAAGTTTTGCAGCTTGGCTGCCTGTAATATTTTTTGCGGAACGATAACCACATAATACTTTTATTGCATTTAGTTCTTGACTTTATTTGCTTCTTTTATTTTTCACCTTTCTGTACCCTTCTTTCTGCAGGCTGGTGTATTTTTTACCAGAGAGAGGAATTCAGAGACAAAAAAATAAGATGAAAATGGAAAGGAGGAAAAAGTAGATGTATTTTTCATTTAGCATTTGAACCCAAAGATTTGCAAAATAAATCACTGCAACGTTATTTATTTACTTACTTTTTCGTCATTTTAGCTTTTCTTTTCTTCCTCCTCTTCCTTTTTTTTTCTCTTCTTACTCTTCACTAAACTAATAGAAACGCAAGCCATGCAAGAGCAATAGCAGCACTACCAACATGACCGCCACTACAATCATCATCGCCGACAACGACGACACCGACAATAACGACAAACAACAACAACAACAGCAACAACAACGACAACAACAAAAACAACAACACCAACAACAACAACAACAACAACAAAAATAACGACAAGAACGGCAACACCAGCCCCACCGCCAACAACAACAACGGGACAACAGCAGCAGCACTGCCGGTTTTTTGCGGCTGCCATTAAACCATTGAAATATTTCAATTTCGCGGGTTACAGTAGTTCAGTGTCAGAGAGGCTTCTTGATGTGGCAGCGGATAGAATGGATGCAATGAAAACACTTTTGCAATTTAATGTTCATTCAGTTTTTGAGAAAAATTGTTCAGAAACTATGTTTTGTTCAGGGTTTTTTTTTAGTCCTTTGATTTTTATAATATTGTTGTTGTAATTTTTTGCTGCTCTTTTTAATAGTTTATTAGAATTGGGGATGGCAATTGGTAGCAGAGGATTTACTGTTAGTCAAATGTTTTATTTTGCTTTACAATCTTGATTTTGTCAATGTTGTTGCTGTGACGGAAGTTATTTGAATGTAGTTTGAAGTAACTGTTGTTGGTTTTGTCCTTACACGTTGAAGTCTTTCCCACAGAGCGAATTATTTTTCTGGTGTGCATTTTTGTCTTTTGCAGTTGTGTTGCGTCCTACCTATCAGTCCATCGTTTGAAGGTTCACCCGTTTTTACGCGAATCGTTAGTTGTTTTCCGTGAAAGATGGCGAATCAGGCAAATTATGAAGTTGCGGGTGGAAGCTCACCGGTTATTGCTGAAGAAAATGTTGAAAACCTCGAATCTAGCTGTGCCAGTAGTACCTGTGGTGATACAACATCATCAAATTCAAGTGAATGTGCTGGTGGTCGTGTTTCGATTAACGAACAATCATTGAATAACAACGATTCGGCTGGTGGAGCTGATCGGGTTATTACTGGTGGTAGTAATCACTCTGTGGAACAAGCTGAGTCATGCTCTGCTCTTGTTTTACATCCGAATGCTGCAAACGGTAACTCTGCCGGTGATGTTGGCGGTCCCACTACACGAGAAAATTCTTTACGGGACAACCCCAGCAATATGCCTGCATCTGCGGCTAGTAGTCCGTCAGAATTAGTAGCGCCGGAACCGATTAGTCGAGCTGTTCCAGGTAACTGATATACCTTACTAATATGTTTGTTTTGTTACTGTTTTTGTACATTGGTACAGTTTTTGTCAATGTTCTATTCTTTAATTTTCGGGTTTAAAGGTCTAGGAAAAACTTTCGTAGTGCCTGTTTTGATCTCTGTGGTTTATTTTTCAGTTTTGAGGTTCCTTATTTCCAAAATTAGAAACTTTAAAGGTGAAGTTACTTTTTATTTTCCATTTAAGACTGAAGGGGCTGTTGATTTTCATTTACTTTTTCTTAATTCTTGTCTAACGTTTTATGTATTTCATGAGCTGCTGTTATACTGTGTAAATGTAGTATAGAAGTGCTGGGATTGTAAGATTCTAATTTTTCTGCAACCGAGTCTTTTAATGGTGACACTGTGTAATTCTAATTTTTACAGCGCTTATCTTAATACTAAGTTTTTATCGCTTTTGTCACACGGTTAGTTTAAAGTAGTAGTTTAAAATAGGTAGTTGTTTTATATAGTAAAAAAATACCTTTGCTTTTAGCGATTCTTAATCTCTCATCTTTTGGCTAGTAGTCATGCTGTTACTTTGCTTTGCTTTTCCAGATTCAGTCTCTAATTTCCCAGTAGTAAGAATTTTTGGTTCTACTGGCCTCTTTTCATCCCTAATTTCTTTGATATTTTTCAAGTAAACGTATTTTTTTAAAAGTAAATCCGACATTTTTTTTTATTTTCAAAGCTTTTTTTGATTCTGTAGCTTTAGCCTAGTTTTGACGTGTGAGTTTTTTTCTTTTGTTAAATTTTAATTTATTTTTAAGCAAATGGAGGTGGTACTACTGGTGGGACGCCCACAAAAGGTAGAAGAGAATACGTGAGGAAACCGCTGAAGGATTCTCATGGTTATTTAAAGGCTAGCTTATCGGAGCAGAGACAGAGCAACGTAATGAGATCTGTAATAAGGTATGGTAGATGATTCCTATTCATTTTTATTGAGATGTCATTACGTTTTGTCGTCTATAGTCATCGTAACTTTTCTTTGCTGCATTCTTTTTTTTCTTGGTCGGCATTTTTTGCCTTGATTTTGCTTTCCTCGAATGAGACTGGTTAGTCTACCTTTGCCGATTATGGCGCACCAGTCTAGTAAAAAAGTGTTTCTTGAATTTTTTCAACTTTTTTTTTTTTTTTGAAAAGGTCGTTCCCTAGGAGTTGGCTACAGTTAATTTGGGTTTTTGAAAGCTTAATTTTTAAAGATGTAGGGAGTTAATTGGCCTTATTTGGTTGTTTCTTTTTGAATGGTATTGATTTCTGTTTCGAAAAACTGATTTGTTTTGGTTATTATTTTACTTTTCCTCTTTATATAGGCTTGAAGCGACATAGTGTTTAAAGTAGGTGACGCTTTGACGACGCGTTCCTTTTGCTTATTTAAAGGTGGCTAAAGTGCGCTATTCTGTCGGTCTAATGCTCCTTTTTTAGGAAAATCAAAGTGAGCGTTGCTTGTCAAACTGATCCTGATGAGGTTCACTTTCCGAAATTAGCTTCACAGTGTTCAAGAGCTACTGCTGCTGCCCAAGCGGTCGTTCAAAGTAAAGGTTAGCTCTTAGTTTTTTACTCACGATTTTTTTAACGGCTGTTTTCGTAAGCTTAGCTTTAAATTTCTGTTTAGGAGCTACATCAGCTTCTGTAGCTACCGCAGAAACTAGCTGTGCGTCATCAAGTACGTCTGATGGCACATTGCGTTTAATGATCCAGAATTTTAAAAATATGTCGGACACCGTACGAGGGCCTGTAAAACCTATTCAAAATGTTCCCTGGTAGGTCTCTTTAAGTTCCTATTTTTTGATATATCATTTACGGTCAGAAACTTTTATATTAAGTTATTTTTTCTAGCATTCGAGCTTTATTATAGTTTCTCGTCCTACCACTTATTTTCTATATAGAAACTCTTCTTTAATGGCGTCACTAAATTTTCATATATGATTTGTTTAAATTTCTTTCAGGCGTATAATGGTAATGCCAAGGCAACATGTTGTACAAAAAAAGGGGACCCAGAAATGTTTAGGATTTTTTCTGCAGTGTTGCCCCGATGCTTATTCTGAGTTAGTTCTTTGATTGTTTTCTAGATCAACTGAATGGTAATCTTGGTTGATGTGACTTTTAAAAAATCCATGCTTGTAAATTTTATAAAAGACCAACGTACTTTTTGTGATATAGAAGTTTTTATCAGTTTTATTTTTGTATGGAATTTTTGATTTTGTTTTATTAAATGCTCTTGGGTATCTGAAGTGACAAGTTTTCAGCTCATGGTCATGTCAAGCTGCCGCAGAGCTAAAATTGATCTCGCAAAAGCAAGGCGTCCCAAATTTTTCGAGGAAAACTAACCATACGTACACTGCCAAAGAAAATGATTGGGGATACTCATGTTTCATGACTTGGGCGGTAAATCTTTATCTTTTTTTCTGTTCAGTTTCAGGTTCTTGGTTAATCATAGGTGCTTAGTTGTTTGTATCGTTCAGTCTCCTGTGCTATATATGTTCTTTTATCCAAAGGAAATTTTAGGATATACTGGATGAAAGCCAAGGTTACATCAAGGACGACAAGGTGATACTAGAAGTTGTCGTTAAAGCGGAGCCTCCTAAGAATGTGTTGTGAGTTTTTTGCATGAATTTTATGTATTAACTGGTTCGCATTTGTGGTGAATTTTATAGTTTTTTTTTTTTGTGTGTGTGTGTGTGTTAAGATTTACAACTGAATATTTCGGATTTGCATCTGTACTTTCTTAGCTTAAATGTTTTAGAACACATGATCAGTTTGAAAAGAAGATCCAGGACTATATGCGATTAGCGGAGATGCAGAGTAGTAGAGGGCTTATAGACAAAGCAATTGAAGTAAATTTGAGTGCTTTGAAATTTTGTAAAGACAGAGATCAAGAGTGCAAGGCGGAATTGGAAGCACAAAAAGCGAAGTTGATCGAAATGAAAGTAAAGCAGAGTATTGAAAGGATCGAAAAAGGTAGTTTTTTTGACGTGATTTTTAGAGTTTGAATGTTTTTTAAACCTCTCTACTATTGCGATTTACAATTTTTAACAGTTGCTTTATATGTTTTATTTTTAAGTCAGTCTAGTCATTATTAGTTGAAATTTTTTGACATTTTAGTACGGCCATGAGGCCACAAAGTTTGTCTTATCGTATCTTTCTATGCAGTGTTGGTGGTATTCCATTTTCATTGAACCGTGTAGTGCTTTTTTGGCTTTTTTTTTTTTTTTTTTTCTCGATGTGGGATTTACTCATAGTTGTTGAACTTTATTTATCTTGTATAAACTTCACAAAATTCTCAGTAATCTGAACAAAGTTCATGGTTTTGATTGTTTTTAATTTGTTTAAGGATTCTGTTGTATTTTTTTTTAGTGGATCTGCATATTTAGTAGGGATTTTGGGGGTTTTTAGAAACTTTTTTGACGTGAATATTTCATTAAACTTAAGGTCCAGCAACTGGTAAGGGAGACGAAGAGAACTCCTTAAACCAGAGTACACTGAAAATGGCAATCTCGGGCACGCCAGCTAACTTGAAACAAGCAAGTCTGAATAAATCGAAATCATCATCGACAACGAGGACGCGAGATGCAAGTAATCACGAGAAAAACGGCAATGTTCAAACTCGGTGATTTTAGTTTTCTTGTGGAAGAGTCTCGGGTTTTATCGCTTTCCTTAAATTTGTTATAACATTATTGTAGCAGGACTTCTGATAAAAAAATTTTAATACCTCCTGTTTTCATTGTTTTTAGGCCACACACTCCACCTGTACTTAATAAGCCAACGTCTGAAAATCAGCATCAGCCAGAGAATATTAAAGAAACTCGTGTGGGCGCTCAAATAGAAAAAACTTTGACGGCTTCTCAAGGGTTCACTACTGTTGATAGAGGTTTGCATATTTTCATTTGCAAAATTTCCACATTTAAAGATGATTGTAATATTTGTGGTACGTTTTATGGTATCGTGGGGAAGCATATAGCAGTTGTTTTTTCATTCAGTTCCAAGTTTTATTGGTTTCATTTTCTGTGGAATGGATTAATTAGTACGTTGCCGTGTCTAAGGTTCCGTTTTTTGTGCACTTTATTACTCCTGTTATTCACTGCTTCTTAGTTTTTTTATTGCCACTCTTCAGTGGTTGGAAGCGAGCACGAAGTTCTGTCTCAGTCACCATACCGTGCGCAGTGGATTGAAGAGGCTCCTGGGAACGCTAGTAATCAGGTTACTATTTTTAATTTGGTCCCTTACTTTGATTACCAATGTCAAGGTCACGGTCAGTCTTGACCCGAATCGTTAGAAAAAATTATTTTTTTAGAATCAGCGACTTTTTGGAGAAGTCCTTGAGGAGTCTGTGCCTTTGGAGGAAGATCGTCTTACTTACATACATGACTATTCAAATTCGGGAGAGAATCGGATTGTTACTGACAAGTTTGTTCTTTATTCGGTTATTTATCTTGAAAAAAACGGTTATTAATGCCTCATTAGCTTACTGCGTTTCAGTAGCTCAAGCTGGCTAGTTTCTATAGTTTCTTATTTCTTTTTTTTTTTTTTCTTCGTCAACTGAAGGTTTTTCATGATTTCCACTGCTGTAGTGAAATATTTCTAGTCATTTGTGATATCACTTAAACTATAAAGTTTTTCTAGAACTGATTAATCAGTAGCTCTGCTTTTCACGTCTTCAAAGTGTTTTCATTATTTTTTTTCAAAATTCGCCAAACTTAAAGTTTTGTAGTTTTTGTAAAAGTTTACTCCTCATTGTAAAAAGTTCGTCTTTCTTTATTTGCTTTTCCTTTTATTTTGTTAAAACTTTCCCAATGTTATCTGTGTAATTAGAATTTAAGATGTTTTTGGAATTTTAGGCATATTTTTTTATCTGCTAAACAAAATGATCTTGTCCGATCTTCGGCCATTCTCCAAAATGTTCCTACTGCAAAAATAAGGGAAGATAAGTCCAAAATGAACGATATGAGTAAAATTGCTGAAAATGCATACGAAGAAGAGTTGCGTCGGCAGAGTATTAAACGGTGCGGAGATATTGTCTTTTTATAAGTCACTCATGTTTCTGTAATTTAATTTATAGACTTAATTCTTTATTTTTAGTGTGGATTTTTATGAGTTTTGTTTAGCATTGCCAAAGAGTCTATTCGTGCAGCCCAAGCACAGCAGAAGAAAGAAGGCTTAGTCAATACAAGTGATATGGATCGGGATATCCAGTCACTGGGTAAACTAACTGAAGACCCTGAGGTAGTTCAGAGTGAGCAGTTCCAGCTCGGGGTCCTTGACTCAAGATCCAGAAAAATTATGCAAAAACAGCGTCAGCTGGAAAATGATAATGTAATTTTTAAACTTTTAAAAAGGTTTATAAGTGAAGTTGGTAAAGTGTGGTTTTTTTTTTTACAACTCAGCTACGTTTCTTTTTTGTTTACATACGTAACTCAATTTACATGAGAGGTTTTGTTCGACTTTTGCCTGAATTTTTGCTTTTTTTTTTTTCAACCAATAAGTTCACTTTTTTGCTTGTTCATTCTAGTAGCTGTTGAGGCTTTGAAAAGTAAGTAATTAGAAATGTTGTTTAGAAGTTTTCATCGTTATCCGATGGAAACTTAGTTGGTCCTGTGTGGAAGAGCAAATCATACAAATCACTGATGACGGGTCATCTAGAGCCTTGGAATTCATTAAATGACGAAAACCTTACTGCAGATACGCGACAGAACTTTGATTTCTCGACGGAGGAAGAAGAAGACGTTTCCTCACCTGCAATATCTTCTGATGAGGAAGTAGTGTTTAAAATGATTTTGGAACCTCAAGAATTTTCTTTAGGCTTTTTTTTGGGTTTTTTTTTTTTTGTTGCACACGCATTTTACGTTGTTAGTTTTGACACTATGTTTTTTGTTTGGAAAGGTGGTTTTTATGCAATGGAGGTTTTATAGACAAGGTTTTAAACACAGTTATAGTTCGGGAATTTAGACTGAGAATAACGGGTCTCGTACGACCATTACTGGCCCGTTGTCAAAAAAAATGAAGCGGATTGACGAACAGGACAGTTCCTTAGGGATTCACGGGCAAGAATGTGATAACTGCTTCGAGGCAACTCAGGAATTTACTCATGAAACATCTGAAGCTTACTGTCAGACTGATTGTATGTTATTTTTTTCCTGAGCTGTTTTGCATTTACTTGTTTGGTTTCTATTCTCTTGCTCTTAAGTGGGTTTTTATGCATAAAAATTTTCCGAATTGGTTTAGTTTTTTGCTAAATTTGCAAGCGAACGTAAGTTCTATTCAGATTTTTTTTTTATTGATTTAAGATTTAGACAGTTTTTTTGTCAATAGGTTTACTTTATTCGAATTTTTGGGACTTCATTTTAGTGGAGTATTTGTTTCTGTTACAGATACCATGCTAAATGAAGGAAACAAATTACTTAAAATTGATTCAAACCGTGTTAATGGGCCCAGTACCAATCCACCACGACAGTTTGCGCAGGCAAAAAAAACTGGGAGAAGAGCTGGTGAAAGTTTGTGTTACATTTAACTCTAGCACTGCACTGGCGGCACGTTTTCGGAATTGGGGAGAAAGAAATAAACAATGAAATATTTTATAATTCTCTTTCAAATCTAATTCTTCTCAAATGCTTTCTTTTTCAATGTTTATATTTATTTGTTTTAGCAGAAAAGGTTACGAATGAAGAAACGGAGTGGAAAAACAAGCCCATTGGGGAGTCAAAAGATAAGGATGCGACATTGCAGAGGCGGAAAGATGAGGTGAGTGCTGTTCATGCGGTACTTTTATCTGATTCTTTGATCCAATATTTTATGTTTTTATTTTTAGCAGTCTATTTCAGCTTTTATTAGATGGCTTTTTTTCGACGCCTAGCATCCTCTCCCATAAATGGTGTTCATTTTTAGGAACGTGGGCAGAATGAGAATGGGAAGCGTGTTGAACCTCCTGCGGAACTTTCCAGGGAAAGTATAGCACGTTTTACGTCACAGTTTGCTAATACTGACCCAAAGGTATCGGTCTTGGAGTTTTTGAGTGTTCACTTTTAGCGTATGTGAAACGTATCGTGCCTCTTCTAATAAAAACTAAGAGTTTTTAGATGCTTCAAGGTCTTCCAGTGATTTATCAACCTACACAACAGCTTTTTGGAGAAGACTTGCCCACTCCCCAGGCAAGGTTTTTCATTTGTGCGTGCAACTGCGTTGTACAGTTTGCTCCTTGGTTATTCAAGTTTTCGAGTGCTTCAATTCTTTCAATTACTACAAATGTGCGAAGTTTAGGTTTTAGAAGAAGGGCAGCCGAATGTTTGGTCAAGGCAGTATATAGAAGAGTGGTTGAAGTTTAACATCAAATACTGCTGGAAATATATAAAAAGTGGTGATGAGGTAAAACAATTTAATGTTTTTATATGTTTAGTAACTTTAAGTTTTTGTAGTTTTTTTAATCTGTTTTTTCAGAACACCCAACCTGGCAGCGGTAGTGAAGACTTGGGAATAGATCTTTCTGGTGGGAATATTCCGCATTTTAGTGATTCGCAGGTAAGTTGTCTATTTCTTAGCTTATTTGCTTTTGAAGATTTTGTTTTATGGTGCTTTTTTGCTCCTAATTCCTTCTTTATATGCTTTCCTTAGGTACAGCAGGTGATGGCGGCGCTTTCTGTTATTGGCGTAAACTGTGTAAATGCTAAAAGGGTAGTCGATAAGGCAGCCGAATTTATCAGCACATTAGAATCTCGTTCGAAAAATCCCTTTTTGCTCGAATGCATGTCGAAATTAGCACTACTTGCTGGGGAAAGAGAGACCGAAGAACCATCAAAGGATTCATTGAAAAATGGTATATTTCTGATTCTTTTTTTTTTTGATTATATTTAATAAGTTTCGCTGAGAATTTGTCTAACAAAGTTTTGTAGAATCTCCGTTAGCAGCCTCGCGAGATATGTGTGATGGTCAACAGTTGCTTAGCGCAGATGAACAGCAACGTCATGCTGCCTCTTTGTCTGAAGACAGCGATGACTTAAATACTGTTTTATCTTCTATGGACTGCCCCGATGATCAGCACGATTATATGCTTAATCGCGAAGTTGCTCGAATAGGGATGTTTGCTGACCAAGCTGTAAGCAAAAATCCGTTAATGGAATTTTGCCAAGCCGAAAGGTTGGTTTTAATCTTGTTTCTATTTTTTTAAAATTGGTCTGGCGTGATAAAGTGAGTTATTTATTTAAAATATCGATCTGTTGTTGTTATCTCAACAATTTGATTTTCCTCTACTTATTTCAAGCTACCAGCCATATATGTTTGGCAGTCTCAAGTTAGATCTTTACAGACTTGCTGATTATGCTGAGAAAATTGCTAACAAAATGGCAACATTGGAATTTGAGAAGGAGAACTTGGTGAAACAGTTGAATGTTGAGAGAGAAAGAGTGAAAAAGTAATGTTTTAAAGATCTTATGTATGACTTTATTGCCTTAATAATCTGCATCGCTGTTGTTATATTCCCTTTTTTAAATTTATTCTGCTCGAGGGGTTATGCTAATTTTGGATATCGCTGTTTAGATTGGAGCAGAAGCATGCTAATTATCAAAAACAGATGCAAGCACAACTACAGTCTGAGAAAGAAAAACACGACAAAACTGTGCAACAGTTGAATCAAAAAAAGGGCGAGTTTAAAAGAATGGAGAAAACTCTGAAGCAACATGAGTCAGTTCTACATTTTTAATCCTTTCATGGCAAATGAGCTAGAGATTTGGGTATATCTTGTAAGTAGATGAGTGGTTTTACATTTAGCTGTTTCTATTTTGCCGGCAAATAATCTGGTTTAGAAGAAACTGATGATTTTATTGACTTGGAGGCAGTAAGTTAAAGCGGAAGTCGAAATTATTTTTTAAACGTCTTAATATAAAAGGGAGGAAAAGGCCGTAGAAGATGTTGGGAATGACGTAGAAGTCTGGGGCGCCATAAGGGAGAGGTCGGTTGTGAGAAGCTACTTTAGGGGAAGAAAGTAAGGATATTATTTCACATAAGGAAGGATTTAATTGTTCAGGAAGTTTTTTTCATGTGAAAGTGGTGTTATTTTTCATCTTTGTTCAGATTTTGTTACACTAGCGTTCGTTTAGGAAAGATTTGGAACGTGGTCGTGAACTTCAAGAGAAAGTTGATTCTCACAACAGAGAAATGCAAGAATTACGCCAGAAACATTCTGAGGAGGTACGGAAGTTGCAAAGAGAATTGCAGTCTAACCAGGATACCCGTCGTAATTTGGCCGAAGAAATTAAAAACCGTGAATCTGATGTTCAAGAACTTCGAGCGCAGCTTAACGAACGCATCCAAGCACTGAAGCGTTCAGAGAATGCTTTGTCGACGGTACTAACACGTCTTATCGTTTGGACTGCGTTCATGTTGACAACGGAATAGCTTAAAACTTAGTTTTTTAGGAGCGTAAATCGTTTCAAAATAACTTGGCAGCTGCTAATGAACGCGCCAAAAAGGCTGAAATAACATTACTAGAACACAGGTTGGAAGGAGGAATAACGATTCTTGAAAGGGCTCACAAGGACGCTGGTGCCAGGATGAAAGAGCTTGAAGATCAAAAGAAGTACCATTCTATTCAATTTTTATTTTTTGCCTTTTTTCTTTTCCTTAGATGAATTTTTCTCTAACTTGAATTGTTTCATGCAGGATAAGAGGCGCGCATAGTGATGAAATTAAAGCTTTACTTTCGGAGTGGAAGCAAAAACGTGAGGAAATTGTTAATTTAATTAACACTTCGAAAGCCGATTTTCTCGCGCAGGTAAAATTAGTTGTTTGTGACGCATCATTGTAACGTAGGGCTGTAGTTTTCCTTCTGGGAATGCTTTTGTTTCAATTGTAGATTGAACAAATAAAAAATGGCAAAACCTTGGCACAGCTACCAAAGCTGGCTGTGGCGAAGCCTCCACCGCCCCCAAAACCACCAACCAAGGTTGGACATCATTACACCGGTCAGACAGCTCCATTGACAAATTTGGAGAAAACGTCATCTTCTCCTACACCGTCGATTGGGGTTATTGGCCAAAATACACGAAATACAACACCCTCAGCAGGGATTATTGGTAAATTTTTGTTTTTTTGTGCGGATTGCCACATTTCTTTAATTTGTGTTTTGGCATATTACAATACTGCATAGTGAGTAGCCGCTTTGATGAGTCACAAATCGTTATTGGTGAACAATTAAGGTAATCCATTGCCTAGTGGAAGCGCAGCACCTGGATCTCCTGTTTTGCCAATATCTAAGGCTCCAGCTCCACCACCGGCTTTGGCTCCTCTGAAGACTACAGTCACGAGTACTCCTGCACCTATCGGTATTTGTGAATTATTTTTAATTTATAGGAAGTAATGTAGAGAAATTAATGTTTAATGACTGATCTTAAAGGGTCTCGACCGACAAGTCACGCAAATGGAACATCTGATTTTTCAAATACTAGTTCTTCGTCTGGAGTATCTTCTTCCCAGAGTATATCACAGCCCACTACATCGACTGGGACAAGTACCACTGGAATTGCACTTCCGGCTGCTTGGGAAAATCCTTGGGATCCGCCTCTTATGAATGACCTGCTCAACCGTTCCTTTGGTCCGATCAGTGGCGAATATGGTTTAGGCAGCTCGAATAATTCTACCAACCAAGTAAGTGTTGTTCAGATCACAAGCTATTTTAACTAAAGTTATAGGTGTCATCTGTTAAAAAATTTTCAGCTGTCACAGCCTCCTCCGGGTCTTTCTAATTCTTCCAATCATTTTGGCCTCTCTCAGTCAAATGGTTGGGGGTCGTCTTCCAGTTCTAACTGGCTTGGCTCTGTTTCGGGTAATCTCATTTTTCCTTACTCTTATTTTCTGATCTGTTTTTCTGATATGACACATTCATTACATTTCGTAACTGAAATTCAGGTGGTATGAATAACGGTTCATTATCTACCAATCATCATTCACAATATGGCCATAATACTCAGCATCAAAGCCAAGGCGGATATCAGTGGAATGGTGGCTGGTCAGGATATCATTCTTCGCAGCCCGGTGCCTCTGCAGATATTGTAAATACTATCTTTATTATGTTCCTATTTTGACTTTGCTTCTATCTAGATTAGTGGGCTGAAATCTGGAGAGTAGTGGTACCTCGTTGTAGAGATTAAGGCTTCAGTAACGCATGAGGGGTTTGAAAATTTGAAGTGGGATTAGTTTTTTTGTTAGCCATTCTTCGCTCACAACGCAGTGGCATAGCTGGATTGCGAAAGAGATGTCGTTACTTTTAGTGAAATGTCTCATGCATCTAGTATTATTCGAACATCTTGGTGCTTCTTTTTCTTCACAGGAAATTATGATTTCAGAACGTATTACTGGATAATAACCGTAGTTCATCGCCTCGTCGAGATGTACTTTTTGAAGCTTTGCGCGCAAATTTTCCACAAATTCCGCTGTAAGTTTCTTTGGGTGTTACATTTTTTCTTGTTAACCATGCTTTGCTCCTTTATTGTCTTTTTTTTAGTGAGACTCTGAAGGACTACGTGAATGAATATCTTGTCCGGAATAACGTCGCTAATACCAAGAATTCTAGTGTACAAGATATCTTGCAATTTGTGGCTCAAATGGTTGCTCCAAAACAAGTAAGCATTATTGCGTTTACATTAAAAGGCAAAACTGTCTCCCTTTTTAGTAGTTGCCTCGACTTTTACGTGGAAATTTTGCTTAGATATGGAATAAAACAAATATTCCTCCAATGATTCGCCAGCCTCCGCCAAATGTCATGGTTCAGTCTCCAATTGGACTTCCTGGTTTGGAGCAGTATCAAGCATCACCTTCTCGTATGCATAATCAGCAGGCCTCAGTACATTCACACGTACTCATGCCACAACAAAGTTAGTTTAAGATCAGTGAAAGGGCAGTGGTGGGTGGGGAAGGAGATAAGAATCCAATTTGATTTTCACAGAATAACTTTTCGAAATGATGACAAGATTAATTTTAGTGCGCGACGGATTGGAAAACTGATTTGGGTTTCCGGTTAGATCGATTATCTGCTGTGTGTGACTTCGAATTTCGGATGGTCTGCGATGGTTTTGTAATCCTAAATCTTTCCACCTTTGAAAGTCAATGTAATTCTAATTTAGTATTATGTTTCCATCTGCAAACACTTCTGTGTAAACAATTCTTTTGAGTTTTTGGAGCTCTTTTTAATTATAATTCATTTTTTATTGTACAGAATTCGTTACCATCCGAGTGTCATTTCAAGTGCCACTTCCCGTTCCCCTATTTTTCAAATTTTTGTTCTCTGTGCTGTTAGATTCCTTTCATTTCTTCAAATGGCCCAGCCTGTTTATTTGCAATTTTACTTGCTTGTTGTTACGGGACTTTTTGCAGGAGTTATTCCTGTTTCCATCCTTCAGATTATTCACGCAATTTTTATTTCCTAACTGGAAATAATACCAAAACAACTTTGACGCGTGGGGTATATTATACTTAGGATTAAAGGTTTTTTGTTTATACTGCTGCTCAATTGTTGAGAATTCTCTGATTATAAATTCTTTTCATAGATAGCCTGTGAACTTCAGCAACATCTTTTATTCAAGACGGTAAATTCAGTCATCTTCATTAGAATGTGTTTTTTTTGGTTCGTCTGGATTTCTATTTTTACCTTTTTTTCCTTTTTTCTGCATACTTCGGAATATACACATGCTTTGCCCATTTTTTGAAGCTATTCTCAATTGATCTGCTCGTTTGCGCACTTTTAAGTGTTTAAGTTAAAGAAAGTTTTAGTCACACACGTTGGGATTTTGTTTTGCTGTTTATTTTTTGCATAACATGAATAGTCTTTGCTACTTGTTATATAAATATTTCAGTTGCCCAACTTGCATACATCGAAATATATACAATATTGGTCTTCACCGTGTCTTTGGAAGTGGATTTTTAATTTTTATCTGTTAGGCTGAATCTAGTATAGAAGTGCAGTACCATTGTCATCTGATTCTCATTTCTACTTGTTCTTCTGTTTTAAATTTTTAGCGTTTTGTTATGTCGAATAATTCTAGTAGCAAGGGGTCCATTTCATTGACGTTCAAGTCATAGTAAATTCGCATCACGCCTTGACTGAGTTGGTGCAGATCTATGAGCTTCCTTAGTAGCATGTCATATGCTTGTTCTGCTTCGACGTCGCTGGAGCACTGTAGTTGTAGATATCTGGAAGATATTCATATGAGTCAAAAGATAGTAAGGTTGTTAGGTGTTTTTAGTGGGGGGGGGGGAGAAGTTTCTGGAGTTTTTATAATTATTTTAATTAACCTTTTGAGCAAAGAGTAGTACTGTTGCTGGTTGCGTGATACAGTTTGAAAGTCCCTCACATTGGGCCTGTCGGGGCGGAATAGCACAATGGCACTCAGTAGCAGCATTACATTTTCGTTTTGGCGCCAGCGTTCGTTGAATGTTTGAAGAAATCTATCATTATTAGATGGCTTATTACAATGGGTCGTATATGTTTCTTTACTCATGATAGTATTACAAGGTGCTAAATTTTAGTTGGACAACTGGTTACCAACCATTCAGCAATCCTCAAGGTTACTTATATTTCATAAGGGCGTTATGCTGTTGGGGCTCGTAGCTTTTCTAAATGCATCTGGGAAAAGAAACGCGCAAACTCCTGGTAGGGTGAGGTAATTGCTCCAGTGCACAGTAATTTTTTTGAATTTTTGTCAGTTCTGGTGGAAGGTTCTTAAAGGAAGAGTCAAGGATACGGGACGGGTATTTGCGTGTAACTTTATGGGAACTCAAATCCTGACTATTTTCTAGTATACGGGGCTGTGAACTGTGACTTGAATGGGTTAAGCAAAAAAGAAGAGTAAATTGTCGAGAATTTGTGGTGATTGTTATTTGCCATAATTCGTGTTTCGCGGTCATACTTTCAGGCGCTATTTAGACATAAAAGTTCTTAAGTTGCTGCCAACAGATAGATTTGGAAAAGATTTTAAAATTACAAAAGTGAAGTTTTTAAAATGCTTATGTACCCTCGCAAAATGTTCCATTTATCTGGATGACTAAAATATATTTTGGGGCACAATGTTTACATCTACTTGACGAAGTTACAGCCGGCATTCAAATTTGGCTTTAAATATTGCAGAATAGTTGGGAAACAGTTCGGTTATGGTTGAAAAGAGGCCTTAATTTTACTAAAGTATTTTGGTATTGTACTTTTTATGTTCCTCGTAATGCTGATTTTCTTTGGCTCGTTTGAGTATATCCAATTTTATTCGCATACCGTTTTGACCCTGTAAAAGATTTTTTAAAAATAATGATTTTATCGCTTGTAGCGATCAAGGAGAATAGCTGTAGAAATTACTCTTGTGATTATATGATCCCAAACGTCTTGAGAGGGGTTGAAAACCATGACGCCTCGAAGTATTAATAGTTCAATTCCGGAACCTGAATTCTGGAGAGCATTCAAATATGAAACTCTTAAACTGTTGATACATTTCTATTTTGTCTACCTAACATCAAAATTGGCGCTTTGCTTTCAACTGAACTTTTATTTCTTTTTTATTTATTGATTTTTAAGTAATTTCTAACTGGAGGTGAAACTGTGACCTTTAAGTAGTGCAATTTGATCGTCTTGCGAAAGTTCGCTGAAGTATGACAGTTCTTTGGCCATTTTGATGATTCTCCGCAGCGCTAGATCGGTTAGTCGAACAACGTCCATTAGTGTTATGTCTTCTGCAGCTTTTAAGTTAAGTCGAGCATCGAGTGGCTGTTTCAAGATCCCATTCGCTATTATAAGCTCCTATAAATGAAGTTTTTGGTGTCATTCTCTTGAAACGTGTGTCTGTCGTTTTTTTTTGGAAGGGAACTAAATTGCGTGGTGAAATTGCCAAGGATATTGGCTGAAACAAACCTGCAACAGAAATCTTTCATGATGATTTAGGCCCTCAGGTAAAACGAGAATTGGTGACTGGGCTTCTGACGCAACTGAAAAGTAGTTATTGTATTTGATGCAATTGTTTTGGACTATTTTTCTGAATGACGACAAGAGCTCTAATTATTGTTTACCTTGACGGCTGGGATTTAAGAAACGAGAACACTCGTTTACCGTAACAAGTACATCTTGTGGTTGCAAAAAACTGGAAGACGGGTACGTCCGACTTGAGAGCGCTTGAGGACTTGCTCAAAAAAAAAATTAGCTGAATTATTTGACCTCTCGTGTGGTGGGAGTAAAATACTTCTCATCAATTGTTACACTTTTGAATCTATTCCTGTGCATAAATGTTAAACTTTGCGTATGGTAGCTTAAGGCTAATTGATTCCTTGTAGGGTACAAAAAAGGGATCTCTTGTCAATTGACGGCCCCAAATATATATTTGAGGGGGCCTCGAAAGAGGCCCCTCTTCCTGGCAGGCTGCGACTGGAGCGGCGTCGCTGTCGTCGCAGCTTCAAGCAGCCGAAGAGGCATGTCGATTGTGTCAACCTCGGCTAAGGGCTACTGTGTCACCTTATAATGCCCAGAACGAACGCTGTCCAGTTGCAGATTTATAAACTATTGTGAGACATTATGGACGGGTTTGACCTTCTGTAGCAATAAGCCATTAAGTAACGTGGAACAATTGTTTGAAGCAAAGGAGGCGATAGAGCGCAGAATGGTTTGTGGAGCAATGACTGGAACAAGTTTTGTGAGGTGCAGTGGTTAGTGAGGCAGTACGTCAGATATAGGCTGGTAGTTTGTTCCTGTCGAGGGTAGAAAAGAAAGTTTTGCGTCTATCTGAGCATTTACACTGACGTTACATTTATACTGATATTTCGCTTCTCTCTCAGGTCGGAAAACCTGGAAGAAAAGCTGCATTAACGCCTCTCATACGAGGGACTTTCGTTATAGAAACCCACTTTCTTGCGGCACTCCCTCCTTTTGCA